GTTCCTAGGTAAACAAAAAATATTCAAGATTACCGTGAATACCCCGGTGAGAATTACATGATGAGAACACCCAGTGTGCCGTTATACTATTCTCTGTAAGTTAGATGTGGGAACATCCGTAGTGTGCTACTACCATATTGTTTGAGTTACACTGTGGATATCACGAAGTGTTATTTCACTATTGGTTCTTTAGGTACAACATCGTCCAAGATTTCGGAAATCTTGGAATGGTGGTGGTGGGAGGAGAGGCGGAGGATGTGTGTGTGTGTGTGTGGTGTTTGAGATGGCATGAAGCTGGTGTGTCCTGACCTGTACCTCACACAAGTTTTTATTTTTATTATCTGGTACTGGTCTGACGGGTTTTTGTGTGGTGGTGCCTGTGGCCCTGTCCGCCAGTGTTGCAAGCGCTGGCCGCAGCGCTGCCATCCACCTTCACGCTCCCTCCATCTCTCTCTCTCTCTCTCTCCAAAACTGGTTTAGTTTGCCACAATTTTTTTTTGCAAGGAAACACGTTTACCTCTGTGTAAAATGTAATAAATGACCACATGATAAGATTATTTCCTATGTTGCAGGAATGACAACGTAAATGGAATTCGTGGACACATTAAAGTTCAAGGTTCATTTACCTTTTGTGTGTATATTGGTGATTGAAAAAAGGTGGCGGTGAATTTGTCTCCATAAACTGACATCAAGGCCTTCAGTTGCACTTGTAACGAGCATCTCGACAGTTTTATGGTACACTGACTTGAGACATTGTGTGTGTATGTGTAAAGTTTTAGATCAGTCACATGTGTAATGATTATTAACGTTAGGTATAGACATTAGGCTAGTAGACAGCAATCAACCAAGGAGGTGCTACCGTCTACCATATGAGTATGGAACAGAAGCCTGTTAAACATTTTCAACTCTGACAAGTTTGCTGATCTTTTGATCATCTTCTATCTCGGAAACACACTTAGTTAAGTATTTTACATACGTCTACTTATATTCGGTATACTCTTATACGTGCTTTTCTTTGTATTCACAGTTCTTATCCGTATAATTTCATTCCATTATTTAGAAGGTCTGGTCTAAGACTGGACCACGGTGGGAGGGAGGGGGGTGATGTTTCTGGGTACCATTAACAGATATATCAGGGGGAGTGGCCCTTGATGAAGCCACCTCCAGCCACAAAATAACCAGTCATGGACGCCCACATGTCTTAATCGCGGAAAAAAAAAATGCTCCTTTCAGTTATCTTGTAAAGTTGATTCATACATACCCTTTTTACAGCATTCACATTCTAAATGCAGATCCTCGTTTTCGTGTTTGCCTGAGTGGTATCTGTAATGATGTAGTGGGTAAGAAGGTATAGGAGTCAATAAAGGTGTATAGAGCATGTCAGGCCAAGGTTGTGGTTGGGTGGTGGTCCCCGCTGCTGTCTGATGAATGTTCCTGCTCCACTACTTGACCACCCGCGCCCACACTTACCTTTATAATGGATACGCTTACTTAACACTCCAAAAAGTGTGACTTGGTCAGGTCATTGTTTTCGTGAAATTGGGGAAGGGGTTATGCACAGGCTTCACGCAGGTAAGGAGGTAATGTAGAAGTTGGTTAGGGCCGTTAAAACAAGAAAGCTGCACTGGTTCATGCTAGGCAGGTCCTACATACACCTACTCATTTTCTCTCATGTATTTGTCCAACCTATTTTTAAAGCTACCTACGAGTAAGGTATTCGTTTCAAATAAGCTACTTGGAAATTTGTTCCAGTTTGTTTTATGCTAAAATAGCTTTTTTTCTATATATCTAATACCTATTGACTGTATCTGAGCCATTAATTAAGACCACAATACTCCGGCATACTAATGACTCTAATCCCTAAACTAGGGATTAAAGTAAATGCATGGTACCTTTGATATATCTTTGAGGAGTTTCGAGTTTCTACCCCCGGAGCCCGGCCATGGGCCAGGCTCGTCTGGTGTTAGCTTAATTCCTTTAATTCTCTTGAGCTTTGGATGTCATTAAGCAATATCTGGCAAGCTGCACTCAGTTCGTGGGAATGAAAGGGGTGGTGAGGGCAGTGCACATGCTCCCTCGGTATAATTAACTGCTCCTTATGCAGGGGATACATATTCCATGAGGTATATCTCTTACTGTATATACACTGGGAGTTTGCTAATTAAAGCACTTCTTAGGGATTAAAGTATCTTTGTGACCTTTGTGGAGAATAGGAAGCAGTCAGATTTGATCAAAGAAAGGGAAGGGTGGCACTAATTCCTTTGATCAAGAACCCTTCAGCATCAAGTTCTAATCAGGATAAGCAAAGGCTATTGTTGATTCCTGGAGTCATGATAATATATAATATATACTTTAGGGCTTTGTCCCAATTCTGCACATTGCCATAACATACTGGAGTGAGACATACGGAAGGAAGTGCAGATAAACCCAGTGAAAATCTGGGGGTGCCATGGGCACAATAAGAGAACACTGTGAGCATCTCTGTCCCCAGACAATTCAGCAATTTACCAGAAGATATCAGAAGCACTGCTGGGACAAGCGTAGAAATCTTCAAGAAGAAACTGGACAGGTATCTTCACCAGGTCCCAGATCAACAAAGCTGTGATGGATGTGTGGACCAGCAAGCTGCCAGCATCAGCAGCCAGCTTGGCCAGGCAAGCACCATGGCCCAAGGCCAGGAATAGAAAACTCTTAAAATTTCATCAAAGTTACATTTCTTTGTAAAGTGGCTGGTTTGGGTATTTGGGTTCTGCCCAGTTTGACTGGTGTTTGTAATTATTTTAGGGTTCAGTTTTTTATTGTGGTGTGCATGTGACCTATTTTGGTTCCCAAATGACTTATGCTATGCCATAGTCACATTTAGTAAATGCCCTTGCAAATTCCTGTAGATCTAGATCACATCTGCATGGATTATGTAAATTATTTAAACTTTTCTTATTCTGTCTTTTACATGTAGTCTGTATGACTAAATTTCAGAAAAATTATGGTCTACATAGTGTCTACATAGTGCTGTAATCTGCTGAATGGAAAGAATGACCTAGCCCATGGCCAGGCTCCAGTAGTAGAAAGACTGGAAACTCATCAAAGGTATAGGAAATTTGGAAATCACAATTTTTTATCAAATTTTTGTGGTTAGTATTCAATTTAGGGGGTCATGTGCTAAACAAAGACAATAGGTTTTGCAATAAAATTTGAGGAAAAAATTAAGCTGTTTCAAGAAATGATTGTCAGAAAAATATATTGCAGATTCTTTCATAATGAGGGTTATGTTCCTGTCAATTAGTGACGTAAAAAGCATGCTGTGCGAAGTGAAAACTTTACAGGAAAAATAGAGCTATGTTCCAGAGAATTCCAAAGTTAATCACAGCATTCTCTTTTAAACTCTATTAGATAAAAATTATTCCAGTATAACCTACCTCACATTATGTTAGTCACCATTTGTAGTATAAGTTTGAAGGTTGAAGTCACCATTTGTAGTATAAGTTTGGGAAAGGTTAAAGTGGGTCAGAGGTTGTCGTAACTTGCACGGCTTTTTGATCAGCTGACACTCCCTTATAAACTATCTTAGCCCCAAGAGGAGCCTCTTTCTGAGTCTTTTCCTCAGTCTGGATGTTATGTAACTTTTCTGTCATGTTTTCTGTCCTTGACTTTTTTTTTAAGCATGTAACACTTGGTACTACACAGACACATACTGATGAGTACTACATGCTGAGGAAGACACAGACACAATGATGAATGTTGTATACATGTACAGTGGACCCCCGCATAACGATTACCTCCGAATGTGACCAATTATGTAAGTGTATTTATGTAAGTGCGTTTGTATGTGTATGTTTGGGGGTCTGAAATGGACTAATCTACTTCACAATATTTCTTATGGGAACAAATTCGGTCAGTACTGGCACCTGAACATACTTCTGGAGTGAAAAAATATCGTTAACCGGGGGTCCACTGTACTTGAGAAAACACAGTCAGTCATACATTGATGAGTGCAATATGCTGACTACATAAGTTTTCATTTTTTCTCATGGTTTTTAATTTTACGAATAGTTTATTCACTTGCACCAAACTTGGACAATTTGGATCACGCACGCACTACCTCTAAGTATTTATAACTCGCATTTTCTCAGCATCATAATAGATTAGTGCTTATTCTTCTTAGCATTTACAGCATCCCTAGTATTCCTGCCAAGTGCCATGGTTAATATCCAGATTGGTGCACAATATAGGTATAGGTTTTATGGGAAGGGGGGTAAGTAGGAGGTAAGAAGCTGTGTCCATGAAATATTTTAATTCTGTAAGGCAATGCTGTGCCTCATAAGGAAAACAGTACCATGTGCAAATTTTATACATAACTTGGGCTACAGAAATGTATGGTGTTTTTGTGCTAGCATTTTACATGTTAACATTTTTTTTTTTTTTTTAGAGATTTTGTATAGCATAATATTAAGGTTTTCTTGTGTTAAAAATTGTTTGGTAGCACTTTTTGAAATGTGTTGCCAAAAAATTGTGCAATGTGAAATTGTGTTATAAGATGGCTTGTATATATAAGAAGGCTTGCTGTATACAGCCTTTTCTCACAACAACTCTGATTTATGACAGGCTCTGATCAATTTGCATACCTAAATAATGTATATTAGAGCTGATTTCTTTGAAAAATATACCAGAAATGTTTTAAATGATGCAAAGGTGACATTAAAACAATATCAAAGATGGTTGACACAAACCACACTTAGCTATGAATTCGTTTACCGACATGGTCTTAGGAATGGAACTCCATCATTAAGTGAGGAGAGGATGTAATTGAATCATGTGGATTACAAAGAACATAGATTCCATGGTTTGACAGTGCAGCAAATAAACTTGTTACATTACACTTTTCATCTTGGGTTGAATATTTGTAGCAATGTATTTTTATTATGTAAAATACATGTTCTAATGTTGTTCTGTACTGTTCTATTAAACTTTTTGCGACTATTAATAATGTTTGTTTTTTGCAGGAAAGTGTGTTGGAGGGTTGCGGTGGAGGAAACGCGGCCAAGGAAGTGTAACAAGTGAAGCATCATCTGGTGAAGAGGAGACACGCACAGCTCGTGAGCGCAGACCACGCCATCACACACCAGATCCTCCTAGGCGTATACTAACGCGCTTGGAGAAACAGCATAGTACTGAGGACGGCACTTCCAGCAGTAGTGGTAACTCTACACCGGATCATCGCCCAATTCGCCGACCCTATAGAAATAGTAGATTACAAAACTTCAGCACTGGACATAGTTACTCTGATGTTATAAGCATCAGTAGTAGTGTTAGCAGTAATAATAGTAGTAGCTTTAATACAAGTACAAGCGGCAGTAACACCAGTGCCAGCAGTACCAGTACGAGCAGTAGTAGCACGCCAGAACCTGAGCTACCATCCCGACCACCTTCACGTAGAGTTGCAGCAGCAGCAGCTCTTAGGCACCAGAAACTAGGCATTCACCGAGCTTCAGGGGGTAAGAGAGTACCAGCTAACAATGGTGCTACCAGACGACCCTCACAAAGATGGCGTAATGTATCACCTGTAACCCGTGTTTCTCAGCCTTCATTGCCATCCACAACACTTTACTCGAATAAAAACAAAAAAAATAACGAAAACAATAGGAATAGTACTAATTGTGAAGATAGTACTATCAAAAGTCAAAAAAGAAAAAATAATAGCCCAAACAGAGCATCCAATAAAAACAACAAGTGTGGTAGTGGTATTGACCTTGCAATTAAAGGGAAGACTCTGTTAGAAGCAAGATCACAGTTTTCACTTAAGCAAGATATTATTAAAGAAAATATCAAATCAGAGGCTGCTACTACAAATATTATTAATAATTCTGAGGATCCTGTTGTGGTTTATGAGAAGACTAATTTTCATCAGAATCAGTCACCACCAAATAGGAGAACAGTTGAAATAGAAATTTGAGTAGGAAGAGTGCATTGAATTTAACAAAGGATTTATCAGCAAGTAAACCTATATCTTCACAATTAATAATTAAAAAAGAGTCTACAACTAGAGTAGCTCCATCCTGCAATAAATTATATAAGGAAAAGGACGAGATTAGTAAGGCGTGTCCAAAAAATGTCCGAAACACTGTCGTCGTACCACCTACAAGCAGCTCTTCTTTTAACGATGAAGTTTTTATAATTGAACCAAATAAAGAGACTTCCGAAAGTTCATTCCAAATTAGTTCAGTAACAGCTGAAAAAAACTTGAAGACTGTTGTAAAAAGCTCTAGTACAGGACTAGTTGCGAAAAAGCAGCCAACTCCCAGTTTATCCAAAGAGGAAAACTCTAAAAGAATATTCCCTTCTAGTTCGTTAGTTACATCTAGTGAGCAAATCAAGGATGAAAATCAGGGCAGGTCAGAAGTAACTTTAAAAGTCTTAGTGGAAAAAGACAAGTCTCCTTGTGAAAAACTTCCGCAAACTATCAAGGAATTGCCTACTAAAGCAGCGTTGGAGTGTTCTGCCTCAAAAGAAAATAAAGACAAAACAGAAATCTCTAATATATGTACTTGTGTGTGTGGCAACACTTCAGTTAGTGATTCACTTGTGACTACTACTGCTGTAGTAAGGAAGCCTAATTTAGGTGAGAATGTGATAGAAACCACGGGTGTTATACGAACAACAGGTGATAGTTCTGCATTTGTTAGCCAGCATGACAAAAGTGTTAAGAGTGCCAATTTTGGCCCAAGTGCCAACAGTGTTGTGGTGAACAGCAGCATTGCTGCAGTGTGTGACGTAACCACTACAGTGAGTACAGTGTGTACAGTGTCGACTGTGACTAGTGTGTCTATAGTGCCAGGCACAACCAGTGCCATTGTTAGTTCATCCAATGTCACTGGACTTACTTGGTCTTCAGAAAGCTTCAAGGTGAACTCTAGTAGTAATAGTAACAATAGTTGTAGTACTAATAGTAACCGTGGGTGTGCAGAGGTGGCGGGCGTGGTGAGCGGGCGGGCAGTCACCATTACAGCAACTAGCGGGCCAGGTCCCACGTGCAGTTCCCGTGTGGCCTCCCCACCTTCTGTAAGCATCACGGCAGTGGTGCGTAGCCCTGTCCACCTCCAGCCCGCCAACCCCGACCCTGCCCATCTTGCCCCGCACCATCATGACGGGGCACCTCACACATCCCTGCACCACCAACCGGCCCACCCATATCATCACCAACAACATCACCAGCTCCAACAACATCAGTCACAGCAGCTTAGCACCCCGTCAACAGCCACCAGGATGGATCATTGTGACGGCTCAAGTGACTCCGGTGTGAGTGTAACTGAGCGTTCTGTGTCACGCTCTTCAGTTCTGAGTGATGACAGGTCATCTTCAGCAGAAGTGAAGCCCAACACACCTACACCTGCAGCTGGTCAAACAAAGACATCACAGGCATCCTCACTCTTCATAGACCGTAAGGAACCTGTTCGTGTTTGGCGTGACCCATCACTTGTGTCTCAGTCAGAGCACACAGTGCGTCACATTCATTCTGTGCAGCACACCAGCATGTCACAGCACTATCCAGGGGTGCCACCCCCTCACCTTGCAGCTCCAACTGGGGGCTCTGGTGGTTCCCACGGACCTGCTCACCATGGCTCACATGGCCAACCTCCTGCATCCATTGCACATGGTCTGCCTCCTGGCTTACCCTATCCAACACACCCTGGAGCAGGTACTGCAGGTGTACCCCCACCCTTGCATCTGCCTCCTGGTCTTCAACAACCACTTGCTGGCTTGTATCCATCTATTTCTCACGATGTGTGGAAGCAGCTTACTCCAGTACCCCCACTGCCACCACATGCATATGGTCTTCTACCTCACCATCAAGAAGAACTGCTTCAGCTGGAACGTGCTCGGGAAATGGATCGGGAGCGTGTTGAGCAGGAGAGACTTCATAGGTAAGTAATATGTACTTTATATATTAAAATAATCTTTTATTCCATATAATGTTTTTAAGTGAATGTCTTTTTTTAAAGGACCTAAAAAAAATTCCAAAGTGCATGCCATTAAGATTTTAAGTAGTCTACTAATATTTAAAAAAATTAGTTATGATAAGTAAGGCAGGTTTAAAAAGAAGTGGGTTCATAAGAGTTGAATATATTGGGAAATATCACAAAAGAAAAAAGTAGTAGAGCATAGTAATATATAACTGTATTTTGTAAAATATTTCCAAAAGAAATTTAGTTCATCATTATTGGTCATTTTTGTTTTATGCGAGTAATTCTGTATAAATCCAAGACGGGTTACTTTTAACACAATTTATTCATAGATACAGTGGTCCCTCGCTTTTCGTAGTTCTCGGCAATCGTAAATTTCGCCAGTCATTGGGGTATTTTTGTATAAACATGGACTCGCTTTTCATAGGTTGACTCGCGAATAATAGTTCGTCCGGGACGCGTACGCACGGTGTGAGCTGGGGAGGCCTTCCTACCAAGCCAGTCTGGCATTGTTTACCAGTGAGTGAAGGTCCCCTCAAATGCTCCTACGAAATATTTCATAATATTCCACTCATTTTAGTGCTTGCAAGTACTAAATAAGCTACCATTGCTCCAAAGAAAGTTCCTAGTGCCAAGCCTGTGGTAAAGAAGGTGAGAAATATGTACAGTGACAAAGTCTTGGGCCATTTTAGGGAAGTGTTAAAGAGACGCCAGAAACAGAGCTCTCTCCACAGTTACTTTGCGAGACAGGACTAGAGTGACTCTCAAGGTGGTCCTAGTGGCATTAAGAAACAGAGAAGAGAAGCAACCCCAGAGAAGCAATTGGTACCTGAGGTGTTGCTGGAAGGGGATTCCCCTTCCAAACTGTAAACAATCCAATCTCTCTCCTCCTCCAGTCTCCCATACACTAAGAAGAATCTCCAATAAAGGTAAGTGTTATGCTGTTAATGTTTCATTCATCATTTCCCATTGTATTGTTTATGTACTACATGTATATTTCATGTAAAAAAATTTTTTTGTTTTAATACTTCTGAGTGTCAGGAACGGATTAATTGTATTTACATTATTTCTTATGGGGAAAATTGATTCACAAATCGTAAATTTTGTTTGTAGTAGCTCCTCCAGGAACGAATTAATTACGAAAAACGAGGGACCACTGTATATCAAAGAACTGAAGGAAAATATCACATAGAAAGTGTGATATCAAGAACAGTGGAATAGTGGGAAGGATGCAATTTTTCTTGGACAATTCATGATGCACAACCCCACCGTTACACCATAGTCACAAAATCCACCACCACCACCAAATTCACCCACCACCTCGACTAGCATCATTCCATACTCATCCATGCATTCCCTTCCCTCCATACCTACCACCAACCACATTTAACCCTTTCAGGGTTTCCGACGTACTAGTACGGCTTACGCACCAGGGTTATTGACGTACTAGTACGCCTAAATTCTAGCGCCTTCAAATCTAGCGAGAGAAAGCTGGTAGGCCTACATATGAAAGAATGGGTCTATGTGGTCAATGTGCACAGTATAAAAAAAATCCTGCAGGACACAGTGCATAATGAGAATAACAAAAACTTTGACCATGTTTTTGGTTTAAAACAGCGACTTTGCATTGTATTTTCGTATGATATTTATGGTTGTATTATAGTTTTCCTGGTCTCATTTTATAGAATGGAAGACATATTACAGAAACTGAGATGATTTTGATTGGTTTCACAATGAAAAGTACCTTGAAATTGAGCTCAAAATAACAGAAATGTTTGATTTTTTCCAAAGTTCAAAAGTAAACAAATCATGCCACGCATCCAATATACGTCAACTGGTGAATCTGATATTCTTTCACAAGTGCGCTGATATTATTTATACATTTCTACACTACTGCAGTAGTCTGCATAACAGTAAATCTTCTATTTTTTGTCAGAATAAAAATTCAAAGTGGAAAGCAAAAGAAATGTAAGAGGGGCCTGGGGACGTGACTGTTGAACAGAGGAAATGTTATTTTAGTGCCAGGAATGTCTGTCTTGTTTATTCTGGGTCCTATTTGGAAACTGGCATCTTTTGAAATTTGTGTGATATTGGCAAAATTGCTAATTTCTGACCACTTTATTGGATAGTTGAAATCGGTAAATGGGTGGTTTCTTGTACTCATTCAATAGAAAAAATGGAGTTCTAGCAAAACGGTTATGATTTTTGTCGACTAGTACACTGGAATTAGCCGAAAATAGGGCTCAAAGTGGGCAAAATCGCCGATACGTAAACATCGTCGAGACCGCTAACTTCACAAGAGCATAATTCCGTAAGTTTTCCATCAAATTTCATACTTTGGTGTCATTATGATTGGGAAAAGATTCTCTGCCTTTTCACAAAATATTTTTTTTTTTTCCAAAAAATTTTCGACCCTAAGAACAAGTTTATGGGAGGGCCTCTCGAACCTGAAAGGGTTAAACCCTTAAGAACTATAGAAAAGCCAGGAAAACTGTCCACAGTGTAGCAGTTGCATGATCTATCTACTATATACGTATGCCAGATATGCAGAGCTGGAATACGTCTTGAATGTATTGGTCTGTCTGATGAAAACAGAAGGAATGGAATGCAGTATCACTGTATCTTTTGGATACAGTGGACCCCTGGTTTTTAGCCTTAATCCGTTGCAGAAGGTCAGCCGAAATCTGAACTGGACGAAAACCTAGGTAATATTTCCCATAAGAAATAATGTAAATCTAATTAATCCGTTGCAGACACCCAAAAATATTAACGAACAATACATTTTATAGAGAATAACTATAGTTTTACATACAGAAAACAATGAGAAATAAATATAAAGCACTAATTTTAATGGATAAATGAACATTTAAATCAGTTTTACCTTTATTGAAGACTCTTGTTGGCATATTCTTTACGAGATCTGCATGCAACTGCCTTGCCTTTTCACAAATTATTGCCTCTACAACACTATCTCCCGCTAACTGTTTTTCGTTGATCCACGCCAACAACAACTTCTCAATTGTTTGCCATCACTACCGCCCTCTACCGCCGTCACTACCACCATCACAACCACTACCACCCTCTACCACAATCCCTACCACCCTTTACCTTTGTAGAGGGTGGTAGTGATATTTCTCCACAAAACTTCACAACTCATTCTATGAGTTCTCTCTTGAATTCTATCGTGGTTCTCACCTTCTTTACCAAAGGGCTTGCACTCTGAAATTTCTTTGGCCCCATGGTACTTATTTCACAGTCACAATCAATAAACCGGCACAAAAAAACAGTAGAGGAATGCATGGAGAGACACAGGCAGACTGAGTGTGGTATGCATGAGAAGCTGCATCCTGGGTGGGTGGATGTGTCTGATACTGATGATTTCCGAGCGGATGTATGAAACCTGGGGGAAAATTTCACCGAAAAAAGTGCTCGAAATCCAAATTGCACAATTTCCGCACCAGTGAAGAACTGGGGGTCCATTGTATTTGAAAAAGCCAAAAGTTGACCAGTGCTTCTGTAAAGATTACAGAAGCACTGGTCAGCATCCTTACATCAAACAAGGAATCATTCATGACTGGCTTTCTTAACTGTGCAAAGACCTGTCAACAAAGACAATGATAAATCTGGCACGGTCCACCAAGCCGAGACATATAAAAGAAATGACACCACTGTTGTCTTAAAGTTTTGTGTCTGATACCATTGGTCATGGTGGGTCTGGAGCTAATACTGGTGCAGTTTCTGATGGTCCTGTCACTGGTACCGTGATCATAATTTTTTTTGTTTTTTTTTTTTTGGCACTGGTGACCCTGATTTTTTTTTTTTTTTTTTTTGGATGGTCGTAATGAGGCTGGTGATAGCACTGTTATCAGTGCTGACGCTGTTGATGTGTTGCTTCCGGCTCTCGTATAGATCTGGAAATTATACCTGTTGGGAACCCAGAGCACCGATATTGAAACTAACAAAAAGGGAGCTTGTATACACAACCATAAGAAGATATGACAAAAATCTCTTAAATAAAGGCAGATGTTGCTCCATGATCTTTGCCAAATTTATTTCGTTATGCGTACAAAACCCAAAGGGATGGTGTTATTAATCAAGTTATCTGGCAGATTTTAACCAAACTTCCAAGGGTTGCTTGATTATAGCTTTTAGTGCCAGGAAGTGGAAAAAAAATGGCAAGAAATGCTTAAAATGTATTACCACTTAACCTTAACTGTCAAGCAGATCTATGTTCACATGCGTAGTCCTCCAAAAGTAGATCTACATTTTTTTTACATATTTGCAAATATATAAAAAAAAAACGTAGATCAAAGTTTTTTTACACGTTTTCAAATGTAAAAAAAAAAAAAAAGATCTACTTTTTTTACATACTTTCAAATGTTGAAAAAACGTAGATCTACGTTTTGGGCAGTTTAAGGGTTAAGACTCATGCTGGACTGGAGTCAAAGCAAGTGGTGGGCCCATCAACAAACCCTTGGCACAGCAACTGGCATTATATCATCTTTTGTGTTTACAGATGTGCAGGTGTGTTTACAGATGTGCAGGGTATCAAACTGAAGAAAGATAGTAAAATACCATTTATTAGTAGTCGTTTTGTAGTCAGATGCAATGTTTGTAGCCTTCACATGGATTCACATGAAATACTATTTTATGGTGTAGCCTTATCCTCAATTTACTTTTCAAAAAATCATTGATAGCATGTCCATGCATTCTACCACAGGCCCAGACCCCATATTCATTAAAACATTTCAAAACACCACTATCTCAGGCTTTTAATATTAAAAGGAGAAGGAGCCTGGACAGTTGTCATTAAAAACCACCAGTATTGCCAGACTTCACAAAGGTGGCAGTAAAACAACACATCATCAAAGTAATTGAATGGGTCCTGAGAAGCATGATTGCCAATCACATGGTACATGTATCACAAAAGTTACACAATCCAAGGTAGCAAGGGTTTAGAG